TAATCCAGCCTTTTCACATGATTTACGGCAAGGGGAGGTGCAACTGCTCCTCCTTGCGCCTCTGTAGGTCCGCCTCTGAACTCATGCAACGGGAGCACTTTTTGCTATCTCTGGTCAATAATACAATAATACGTAGGATAACTTTTCCACTTGTCATTATGTTATTGGCCCGGGATAGTAAAACAATGTTATCCCCGTTACAAGTAAGTTTTTTGTTGCTGTGGTAGAGTCAAAAAAGAAGACTTATGTGTGCTTAGTTGATTTTTCCTTCGTTCTTTTTTGTCATTATCCACAACTAGCCTTTGGCGCACGTCAATTGGTTTTTTTTTTCTTTTTTTTTTAAGTTTTTTTTTTTTTTTTTTTTGTAAAATTAAGAAAGAGAAAATGTGTCTAGTTATGTTGTATGAAAATAGGACCATGTTCCCATTTTGTAAATTTTTGTTAAAAAAAATTGATATGAAAACAGTTAATTGTCAATTACTTTTCTTTTGGGTTTATTTTAGTTTTTCAATTTAGAATTATAAAAGAGAAAATGGGTCTAGTTGTGTCCCATGACATTAATTACAATTGTTGTTGATAACAATGAATGATTGAGTTGATCTGCGGAGGATAGTGGCTGGAAGTTTAGTTCCCATACCATTTCAATTTTAAAATTCTCCATATTTTCTTCATGCTTGAAAACGTGATCAAGTTATAAATAATAATAATAATAAAAATTGAAATCCTTAGATTAGTTGTATGTATCATTAATTTATATTTCAATCTCAAAACTACCAAATATATAGTGTACAGACATTCATTTTGGGAAGTCAAAGGGCATTTTCGTCCATGTCAGAATCAGATAAAAGGTCAAGTATGTACATATTAATGGAAACCCTAGTGGTCCACGTTTATAATCAAATATAATATTGATACTGTCGCTATTAAAATGGGCACATATGAACGCATCCACAAGAAAAAAGGGGCCATTATTTCATATCCGATCTTCTCTTAAATCTTCAACACGTACTTAGTTTTTTTTTTAAATTAAAACATTAAGTTGTGCCTTATTATTTTAATATGAAAACATGAAAATGACGTGTCTATTTTCTAGTCAACACGAACACTTTATCATGTACCCTAGTCTGTCTTTTTCTTATTACTTTCTTTTTTGGTTCGATACGTATTCGTAAATAAAAGTCAATAATAACTCACTGGGAGAGCAGTGGGAAAACAAAGAATTAACCACTCCAAAGCAGTTAGCAATGACGTTTAATTAACATGTGGTTCATTGCATCAACATCAAATCTGCCAAATGGTTTACAAATTAAGCCAAAAGCCACAAGCTTATTAATTCAAGGCCAACCTTTTTGGTTTTAAATTATGTACTATTCTTTTTTTTTTTAATCAAATAATATATGTGCTATTCTGTTTGCTGCTATAACACGGAAAAGGTATGCATTAGAAAACACCATTCAAACATATACGTACGTAGTTACATTTTTTACATTTATATTTATGTGACGAACCATTCAAATGGGGTTTGTAATTTAGATGGTTAAAAACAGTTATGTCCACATTTGAGATTTGTGTTTGAATCTCCATCTCTATCGCTTGTATCAGAATACGTAGTTATATATTCTACATTAATCATGCTTTCAATAAAATAATTTGAGGGTATAAGTCATGAAGATCGGTCAAAGGGTCAGCTTATTTTGCCTGTTCAACTCTATAAGCTCGACTTGGGAAGACGGTGATTAAGACAAACCCTAGCTAGCTAGACTTTGAATCCGGGGCCAAGGCAAGTTGCTATAATAAAATGAGGTAATTAAATGCATGCAATGCAATGGGATGGACCTACGGCATTGATAAAGTTTAGTTCAGAGGCAATGCCTTTGAGTTTGGGTAATAATAATAAGTCTGCATTGCGTGTAGTTTCCAATTAATAATGGGAGTCAGAGCATGACTTGAAACCATCAACATCGTCTGCCGCTGATCATATATATATTATGATATGGGCTGGGTTTTCATTTCAAGCGTGTGGCCGTTCTTTGATGAACTTGCAACTAATTGTTTATATAATTAATTAACTTTTCTCAAGTGGCATGTAATTAATATAATTAGAAGTTGATCATTTCCATCATTCCATGGTTAACAATAGGGGTGGTTGCGGTTCGGTAACCGCGAATTTTTACTTAAACTGCAAATCGACCGATATTTGCGGTTTGGTGATTTTTGAAACAGCAAACCGACCGCGTTTTGCGGTTTAAAGCCGCAAGTTCTCAAGCATTCACAAAAATATAAATTCACAACCTAAATAAATAAATACACAACCTCAATTTCTCAAACATATATAAATTCACAATCTCCTCAACTTCTCAAGCATTCACAACCTAAGAAAATTAAAGTTACAATTCCAATTAAAGTTAAACTTCTCAAGCATTCCAATTCCAAATCCTTTAAAGTTATAAACTAAAAGGAAAATGCAAAGCAAAATGAATTAAAGTTACAACCAAAAAGAAAAATCCAATTCAAAGTTAATTAAAGTTACAAACTAAAAGGAAAATGCAATGCACCAATGTTACAAACTAAAGTTACAAACTCAAGTGTTGGTGGTGAGTGGATTTGAAGAACCCCGTTGTGTTGTTTGAGCACCAATGTTATTTACAAATAAAACAACATAGTTTAGTACATTTTGTTATAAGAAGAAGCATAAATAACATTAGCATAAATAAACTAATTAAAGTTATCATATGTTCAATTTCCTTATAGAATTCAACCTCATCATCCATGCGGCTATACTTTGCGGTTTGCGATAACTGCAAGTTTTGAAAATCAAATACTGCAACCACAACCGCAAATGTAGTTCGGTTTTTAATACCGCAAATGCGGTTCGGTTTACCGCGATTGAGGTTTCATTGCGGTAAATTGTCGGTTGATTTTTGCGGTTTTTCAGTTTTTCGGTTTAAAATGTCACCCCTAGTTAACAATCAAGGAAAGAATCTAGCAAAGAAATGATGAAGCGTAAAGTATAAAAAAGACCTTGACTTACAAATAGAGGTGTCAAACGGGCCGTGCTGGGCCGGCTCATCCCATTTAAACTCGTGCTTTTAACGTTTTCGTGTCGGGCCGGGCCGGCCCATTTAATTTATCGGGTCGTGCCGTGCCGGCCCATTTAGTAAAATCATTGATCCTGGCCTGGCCCAAAGCCCATGTCCATATTGAAACGGCCCAGGCCGGACTCGTGCCGTGCCCGTGCCCGTGCTCGTGCTCGTGCCATACTCAGGCCCAAGAACCAATCCATTTAATTTGAATTTTTTTCACTTCATTTTTTTTTTTTTTACAAATTTATAAATAAACCCAATCATAGACATGTATTTATAAAAAAACCTAAACACTATTTAAACATAGAAACACACCCAAAATCAACCATAAAATCAACAAGTGTATATTTTTTGGGTGTGTTTATAAATGGGTTTTGAGTGTGTGTAATGATGGGTTTTGAGTGTGTTTATAAAGTTTAGGTGTTATATTTTTTTTATAATTTCAGCCCCCATTTTGGGTGTTTTAGTAAAACCCCCTTTTTTCACTAGATAATTCAAATTATAAACATTAAATATATAATTAGAGGCAAGAAATGATGAACTATTTGAAAACATTAATCAATCAAATATCCAAACAATATGAAATGGCGGAGGGCAAAAAGTGTCAAACTTTACAAAGTCCATTTCAACTTTTCATCTTTGAACAACTTATTATTTTATATGTGAAATAATGTCTTGCTTTGATTATAAGAGAAGCATATATGTCATATGTACTGATTAGATATCAAGTCCAATGTTGTTTAATTAATTTGTAGTTGATATGTTTAATTAATTTGTAGTTGATATGTTCAATTAATTAAGGACTCAAGTAATTTCCCTAAAATAAAAGACATCAAATATATATTTATGATTAAATAATGACATTAGATGTCAAATTATTGCATTTTGACTTTTGAGAAAGAAAAAAATGTTAAGTGGGCCGTGCTTGGGCCTTGCTTGGGCTCGTGCTTGGGCTCGTGCTGTGCTTGAAGCGTGCTCAGGCCAAGCCCGGCCCAGTCCATTGGACCTCATTTTTTGATCCTGGCCCGGCCAAAGTTTTCGTGCCGTGCCGAGCACGGTCCATTAATATTCATGCTCATGCTATGCCGTGCCTCATTTAAATGGGTTGTGCTCGTGCCGTGCTGGGCCGGCCCGTCCCGTTTGACACCTCTACTTACAAATCAGAAGTCTCAGGTTCGAACCCCAATGACATCATAGTTGTATGTGTGTGTGTGAGAAATCAGTCTGCCCTATGATTTACACTATCGCTTATACTAAAAAAAAAAAAAAAAGTCATGTGAAGTACACTATTATATTTCAATAATATGAAATGTCTATTTTCAAATTTTTGTTCATAAATCATGCTTGAAACAAATTATACAAATTGTAAACCCATCTAATTGTAATAAAATAAGTAGACTGACATAATAGTTTAAGAAAATACTAAGATCTCTACCTTTTAATTGAATAAAATTTTTCTAATTTGATTGACATTTTACAGAGATGATAACTGAAAAATTAACTGTTTGAATTATTAAATCACAAAATATAATGGGCATATACAACAGCGCCCCTCAAATTTATTTAAGGAATCCTCCATTCAACCTACATAATATATTTGATTTATATAAAGGCATCATAGTCATTTTTTTGCCTTGCAACTTATTTTTGCGACTTGATTAATCGAATTTAGGGTATCTGCATAATATGATGCTTAAGATGACGTTAAAAAGAAGTAGTAATCACATATCTAAGAGTGGTTAAAGCCGTACCACATCACGAGAGAGAGAGAGAGATTGTCAAAGCCGGCATAACTGACCACCGACCCCTCCAAATCTTAAAGGAAAACAAACCAAGACTTTCTCCAAGTCAATTTCATCCCTTCTCTTGTATATAATAACCCTCTCCCTTCGTCCCTTACCTAAAAGCCAACTAATAATCCTATCTCTCTCTCTCTCTCTCTCTCTCAGAATGGGAAATGCAGTGTCTCCGTGTTTTCAACAGAAAACAAACTTAGCTGTAAAAGTTATATTTTCAGAAGGAACCACAAGACTCCTCAGAGGAAAGCACGTAGCTGGAGAGATCATGTTCGAGTTTCCAGACCAAATGGTTTGCCATGCGGACTCTTTCTTCATCGGCCACCCTGTCCCGGCGTTAGCCATAGACGATGAGCTCATTCATGGACAGACCTACTTTGTTCTCCCCCTTGATTGCTTCGCATGCAGGGTCCTCTCGGCCTCCTCGCTCGCCGCCTTAGGCTCGTCCTCAAGCCCCAACAAGAAGGCTCCGATTAATTTCGGAGAGTCCCCGTTCGAGTACATAAAGGGTTCGAACGGGAAGGTCTTGATCAAGGTTGTGCCAGACTTCATAACAAGGCTAATTACGAGAGCTAATAATAAGGAAACTGTTACTAGCCCTAGCAATAGTTTTCTTTGTAGCACGCCTGAGTTGCAAAAGCACTATGAACAGCTTGTTGGGTCTAAAGAGCAATTGTGGTCGCCTAAGCTTGATACCATTTCTGAATACAAGGTTAGGTTTTCACCATGCAAATTCATAGGGCTGGAATGGAAACAGAAAGAGAGTGAAGTCATGTAATTGTTTAATCTCTTTCATTAATTTAGTGACGAAGTTAATTGGTTAATTTTCTACGAGCTAGTAGCATAAGAAGACAGAGATTTGCTAATTGTACGTATTGTGTTTTCTTCATTCCTGTTTCCTGATTCATTCATGAGTTGTAAAAAGTTGATTATATAATAGGAAATTAAAATTGCTTTCTTAGTTGTATATAATTAATCATCTTTAAATTATCTACCCCTAACTAAAAATTTATTGTAATTTAGTTTGTATTCCTTAATTTCTTGGACATAACCAATCTCTGGTTATGAATATGAAGGTTTGAGGATGCATGAATACAGTCCCGCTCACCTAAGGACCTAAAAATGAGGTCCTCACAAGCCTTAATCAAATGACCCATATAACTGATAATTTAAACCCACACTCATGCTCCCTATTTTACCAAAACAAACCCCAATTATTCTAATTTAAAAACAAAAAACGAAGATGCAAACAATATTCGAAGTTTTTTTTTTCTTTCAATTTTTTGGTTTTTGAAATTGGAGAGAGATGGGTAGAGAAAAGGAGTTCAGGGAGTGAGATCCATCAATGTTGTTTGGGGTGGGGGGATGAGTGCGGTGATGGGTGAGTTGGGGAAGCAATTGCTATGATGGGTGGGTGGCGGTGTGGGGGTGTAGCTTGGGCGTGGGGTTTGGGAGTTCGCAGTCGCCAGCGTGGCTGGACCTATGTGGCCAACAATGGTGCCACAAAGCCTTTATAACTACTGTACATGTTGATTTGTTTTTCTTTTTTTTTTGAAGATATACGAAATACGAGGTTGCTTTGCATCTTCCTAGCTAGGGGTCATGCAGCTTCTTGGTTTGATTTTAGATTTTGAAAGTCTGATGGTTTTTTGTTTTTTGTTTTTTTTTTCGGGTGAGAAGACGGAAGAGGGAAGAGGGAAGAGGAGAAGGGATTTCTGGGTGGGTAGGGATGATTGGAGCCGCCGATCTAAGGTTCCGACAAGGTTCAGATGGTGGGGGAAGTTGAGAGATTGAACATGAATCCCTAATTTTAATTTTAATTTCCTTTGTTTTTTTAAATATATATAAAGCAAAATGCAGAGAATGGTAAAACATTCAAAATACTAGAAAATGTCATTAGTTAATGCAAACATTAAGAATTGAAATTATTAATTAAATAATAATAATATGGTAAATTCACACTTTTTCATATATAAAAAATTAAAATTAAAAGAAAATTCAGATAATGGATCATATTTTTATGGAACACAACTGCCCATTATCTTTTTTAATTCTAAAATAAATTTAATTTTTTTTTAAAAAAGCCTCTTACAAGGGCGGAAGCGCGTGTGGAGAGGCTAGTTAGAGTTTGTTCAGGTAAAATAAGGAGCACGAGTGAGAATTTAAACTACTAATTATGTGTCAGGGACCTCAGTTTTACGTTTTAAGGTGAGCGGAACTGTATTTATGCATCCTAATTAATCAAGGGTACTATTAAAAGAACCTTAAAATTAATTGAGAACACCCTATTACCAAACTATTTATTGAATGACGTGATATCACGTTCCTAAATTAATATTTAATTCTTAAATTATTCAAGTAAAATATAATTTCACCCCGATGGTGTTTTAATGGGTTTAAAATTGACTTTTTGTTCGGGAAAGGATTTGGGGAATTGAGCCGCACCGTTGCATCGGGCTCGTCGATATGATTTCGTCGGTATACCGCATGCTCAATTCTGAGTTGTAACAAAAGGGAAAAAGTCTAAAAAAGGAAAGTGAAAAAAAAAATGTTGATCAAATTGAATTGGGTTATTCCCTTTCTCTTTCCTCACGAATTCTCTCCATTCTCTCTCTCCCATTCGGCACCTCCATTTGGCCGGATTTTTGCCGGCCATTTGCCACAGTTTTCGGCCACCTCATGACCCAATCTTACACCCTTTCTTCTCCTCTCTTCATCCTCTACCCAACCCACTAGTTTTCGCAGCTCAAAATCGAGGGTTAAAGCGACTGGAAACGAGGGAAGCTTCGCCGGTTTTCCTCCTTTGTTTTCAGGCAGCTCCAGCTACCAATTCCAACGAGTGAGGTATGGTTTTTCATCCTCTCAAAGTGCTCTATCCGTTATTGTAGGTAGTTTCGATCAATTTTGTGATTTGGAAGTTTGATTTAAACACCCATATGCTCCGACGGTTTGGTCCTGAATTTGATTGTTTCTGGCCACTTTTTGGCTGGGGTACAAGAGTTAAAAACACTCCATTTAATGTGCTTAAAAACACTCCATTTAATGTACTTCTTGGCATAGGTATTGGTAGGAGATTTTGATATTTTCCGGTCACCGGAAATTACTCAACGCACCCACCGTAGGCCAGGGCCACCTGCGTACTTTTTAGCCTAAAATTATTCCTAGGTCGTCCCGAGCATTGTGGTATGTGTTAAGGCCCAAAAATCCAAGGCTGGGCCCAAGTTTAATTTTAGCCCAGCGCAATATTTAAGCGAGAAAGAAACCCAACTAGGGTGTACGAGAATTTGTCACATACACCCGTATAAATCATGGGTCGCATGCCATGCCAAGCAAACACGCAAACCCACCATGCAAAAGGGTCAAAAATGAGCTAGTAAAAAATGTACCGGCTCTATATTTAACAAACCGATCCTAAATCAATTTTAATTTATTAATTAATTTAAGTAAAAGACAACTTTACCCCCGTAATATTTTAATAGTTTAAAAGTTGACTTTTTAAAAGGGAAGGAATTTAAGAATTTCAGTTGTACCATTGCTTAGAGCACATCGAGACGAGTCCGTAGACACATAGTGGGCTCAAATCCGAGTTGTATTGAGGAAGATACGACCAAAATACGTAGAGGGGCAAAATCATAATTTTGCAAATGTCAGTTTTTTATTTCCTCTCTCTCTCTCTCTCTCTCTCTCTCTCCTGTCGCGACCCCTTCCCCCCCTCAAAGCATAGCAACAACGGTTTCACCGTCCTCACCGCCACCACCAGCCGCCACTCGGGCCGGGACTGGTCCCATTTGAACCGTCGCTCCTTCCCCAACTTTTCCTACCCCGTTGCCGCCCCCGTAACCCAGCCAGGCTGCTGGAATCTGCAGAAAACACGCCGGATTTTGCAGAAAATTTTCAAAGCTCGTTTGAGCGTCTCCGGCCACCGTTTCAGACAATCCATGTATGGTTTTTCAACCTCTCTAGCTGTTCTTACAACTAGTTGTATTAGTTTTGAGAAATTTCTGCATTTAGCAAATCAAATAAGCAATGGGAGTTTGGCTAATTTTGGGCCTTCGATTTCGGCCACTTCTGTGTACTTTTTGGGGTAGATCCAAACAAAAGTTGCTCCACTCTAGGTTCTGATCATGTAGGAATAAGTTTTTCCCTGTGGTTTGGATATTGTTTGATCGTCGACTGGATATCGCATATTAGGCGTTATCCAAGTTCCATAGGTTCAAGCCGTTGGATCGACTCCAATTTAATATATGTTGATCTAGGCATTCCTAGGATCGTGGAGGAATTCGCGGATCGTGAATCGGAGTCCCGGATGTTCCGATTCAATAATTTAAAGTTTGCATTAAATGATAACCATCCGATCGTGAGTGATCCGACTGCTCGATTGAAATTATATTTGTAGGGCATGTTTAGTAAATTTGGTTGAACATATAGGAACTTTCAGATCGGAAAAATGGAGTTGTGGGCCCCACGTCCCGTTTGACCCAGTGTAGGAAGTTTGACCCTCGGTTGACCGTGAGTCTTCTGAGATAGTATTGTCCTTCGAGTAGTGCTAGAACATGCTAGAACGACTGTGTAAAAAGGTTTAACTGTTTATGAACTGTTCTGATTATGTTTGGATTACGAGTTTATGTTATGGTGTTTTATGGTATTCTTGGGTGTTATTATGATGCTTGAAGTTTATATTGTTATTTATCTATTATTATTATTATGATTTTTATTAAGTATATGACTGAGCGATATCTGGTTATCTATGAAAGCGTATTGTTTTAATAGTGAAATATAGTATTATATGGAATTTATACGTAAACAAGTGTTGATTAATATTAGAATTGACGGTATTAATGGAATTGACGGATTAACATTGGAATTGACTAGGGGTGGCATTTTAGACCGAAAAACTGCAAAATCAACCGACAATTTATCTCAATGGAACCGCAATCACGGGAAACCAAATCTTATTTGCGGTATGAAGAACCGAACCGCATTTGCGGTCGCAGTTACGGTATTTGATTTTCAAAACTTGCCGTTACAGCAAACCGCGACTATTTTTTTATATAAAAAATTGCATTTTGTAGATAGCATTGGTGTTCAAACAACACAACGGAGTCCTTCAAATCCACTCACTACCACCAACACTTGAGTTTGTAACTTTAATTTGTAACATTGGTGCATTGCATTTTCCTTTTAGTTTGTAACTTTAATTAACTTTGAATTAAATTTTTCCTTTGAGTTGTAACTTTAATTCATTTTGCATTGCATTTTCCTTTTAGTTTGTAACTTTAAAGGATTTGGAATTGGAATGCTTGAGAAGTTTAACTTTAATTGGAATACTTGGAATTGTAACTTTAATTTTCTTTAGGTTGTGAATCCTTGAGAAGCTGAGGAGGTTGTGAATTTATTTATTTAGGTTGTGAATTAATATTTTTAGGTTAAAGTATGCTTGAAATCAAAAGGCTTCAAAAGAAGCATCAAAATTAGGCCTAAAATGTGGAAGATTGGATTTTTATGATATAAAAAGAGCTTGCGGTTTTAAACCGCTAATTCATGGTAACCGACAGCAAAAAGCGGTCAGTTTGCGGTTTCAAAAATCACTATACTGCAAATAGTCAGTCGGTTTGCGGTTTGGATAAAAATTCGCGGTTACCGAACCGCAACCACCTTTAGAATTGACGGTAATAATGAAATTGATGGATCACAAATGGGAGTATGCCTAGGTGGAGAGTATTTAAATTTTGAGATGTTATAAATTAGAACTTGAGATTTTATCTTAAGAGATAAGGATTAAGAGTTTCTAAGTTTTAAGGATTTTATATAATTTATGTATATTTTCTTAAGTGAAGTTTTATTCTACTATGTTGTTATTTGATTTTATATGCATGTCCTTTTTTTTTTCTCCTTATGTTTCTTTTCCAATTTAAAAGTTATTCTCCTCTCATTATTT